GACAGGGTCTTGCTTTGTAATTCAGGCTAGCTCTAAACTCATTATGTGCCCCAGGCTGGGCTCAAACTCAGCAATTCTCCTGCCTCAGCCTCCCAAGTATTGGGATTATAGGCATGTGCCACCACACCAAGTCACAATTTAAAAATATTTTTAAAGAGCTATTCCATATTCCTATTTTAAGTGATCAAAGAACGTGAATTCATGAAATCTTCACTGAAAATAACTGAAATATTTAAAAATGGCTTTCCATGTAGAAAAAAACTCAAGAGTTCAATCAGCCTCAGAATTGCTGACAGTGCAGACAGACGAGTCTTTGCTGTGGGGGCTGACATGCATTCTAGAATGTTCACTTAGCAGCATCCCCATCTTCTGTCACTAGATTACAGGAACAATATGCCTCTACTATGACAATCAAAACTACCACCAGACACTGCCAAATGTCCCTGAGCAGCACAGCCACCACTGCTTGAGAATGACTGGCTTACAGGAATTTAAGAATGGGTATGAGTTTTGCTTTCCTCTGTGGGACAGTTATGTCTTTCCTTTTTATTTATTTATCACATGAACACATAAGAGATTCTCTGTAGCTTTAATTTTCAGAATTTGCATGCACCTGACTAGAGTTAAAATTAACACTCCTCCCAGCCGTCCAGTGAGGGTGGTTAAACCCAGGGCCTTGCAATGAGCTGTAGCCCCATCTCTCTAACCTGCCCAGGTGGGGCTCAAGTTCTTGATCCTCCTGCCTCAGACTCCCAGAGTGCTTGGAATTACTGGTATATACCACCACTCCTACCTGAAATCAACCTTCTTCTAAGAAGTACATTAGAAACATGAAACCATAATATAAAAAAGTGACAAGGGAGAAATTATGTATACTTCATTTATAGAAACTTATAAACTGCAGTATAATTGAAGGATATTTTATAATTTCAGTAAGAAATATACTGGGTGAGATAGCTCTCCAAAGATAATGGTAATATTCTATTTTTCAAGTTGCGGTAGGTAGATGGGCATGTAGATACGTGTGCTTGTGTAAGAGACACTTTTTATGACTAAAATTTTAAATAAAAATACCGAACCTTTAGAAAATATATTATTTTAGCTGGGTGTGGTGGTGCACAACACTGTAATCCCAACACTCTGGAGACAGAGGCAGGAGGACTGAAAGTTCAAGGCCAGCCTGGAAAAGCCAGACACTTAGACCTAGTCTCAAAATAAAAAATGACGGGGCTAGAGATACATAGTTCAGTGCAAAGGCCCTGGGTTAGATCCCCACTACTGCAAAAAGAAAAAAAGTGGAGGAGGAATGAAAGTTTAAAAATTTAAGTAAAAAATATTTGGCAAAATGTTCTTGGTATAAAGAATACTGCAGAAAGTAGCAATCCCTGGAAAAAATGTCTCAGGAAACAATACTGGAACTGTTCTCTAAAATACATAAAATGTCCAGAGTGGGAGTTGAGTTTAACTATTCTATTCAGAACTTAGCATAAAATTTTAACCACGAAGAGATGAAACACAAAATAGTTGTCGTAAAATCACATTACAAAGTTTACAGATGTAAAAAAGTATGTAATATGCTATAAATTAAAATAGTTATATTAAAAATTTACTATTTTGGTATTAATTTGCTATCAAATATTAAGTTATAATATAAACTGAATTTAAATATATTTTTAAAAATCTAGATATATATTTAAAATTTACTACTGTTCTTTGATATGAAGCTATTCACCAACATATTTAAAGATATTATAAAGTTCAACAGAAGGATACCACTTTTAATTAAGTAACAATTCTTTATTATATTGTTTATAATAATCTATATACACATTTTGGTTCAAAAGTATAGTTTAATAGTAATTTTTTTTTGTTGTTTTTTAGTACCAGGGATCAAACTTAGGACCTTGTGCTTGTGAGGCAGGCAGCAGAACCACTAAGCTAAATCCCCGGCCCTTTAATTTTAATTGTTTAATTGAGTTAAAAAACAAAAATCAGAAAAGCATTGTAACAAGAAGGCCAATACCTGAATGACCCACTGTCGATGCTGCCAGGCATGGTAATTCTTTGCATCCTGATTAAGAATATCAGCAATAAACTCAAGCTCCTGAGATGGATCTTTCAGCCATTCCACTAATACTCGTCTATGATGCCTAAAATTCAGAGAAAGGAAAGAAGTTTTGAGTTAATTTCCCAAAGAACAACATGTAAGGTGCAAGGGGTGTGTCATTCAATGTGGAGAGGACACATGAGAAACAAAAATTCATCTCTAATTCTCAAGACTCTAATGGAGGAAAAAGTTAACACAAAAGAAATGGTAAGAGAAAAATTTCAGAACACTAGTACTTGAGAAATAGTCCAATACTCATCAATCAACAAATGGATAGATGTGGGTTTTTTAATACAATAGAGTACTACTCTGCCATAAAGAAGATGAGCTTGACACATTTCTAGCTAAACGGATGCACCTCAAGACCATACTCTTAAGTGAAATAAATCAGACACACAGGTTTAAGTACTGCCTCGTTTCTCTGGTGTGAGAAACCGAAAGTGTAAATAAGGACCAAAATGTATTAATAGATATTGGGAAATGGGAAGAAAATGTTCAAATGAGAAGGGGAAAAAGGGAGGGGGAAGGGAGAAAGGAAGGAAGGGACAAGGAAAAAAAGAGAACAGAAGGAAAAAATGCAAACAAAGCTTTTGTAAATAAGGCAGGGAAGAAAGGTTGAAAGGAAGGGAGGGAAATGGGGGAAAGACAAGAATCAAGATATATCATATGTACAGTTACAAATTCCCTGTGATGAATCATCATTATTAATATCTAAACTGTACCAATAAAAAATAAAAAAAGGAACCTGTGAAATGAGATACTGAGGGCTTAGAGACATTTTAACTCAAGCTAAAGCTGGGAGTACAGTTATTTTTTGACAACCACAATACTTAGCATCAAGACTATGAAACATTACACAATGAGACACTAGAAAAAATATGGTATTGTTTTCTCATGTACAGAAGTTCCTATACTTAAACAGTTTGTCACATTTCCCTAAGTTAAAAATGTTAAAACAAAAGCAAATTTTCTTTCTAGTAGTTAGTGGGCAAAACGGAATTCGTTTTGACCTTAAAAAGGTCAAATAGCTATGAAAAATTTCAAGTTTGTTACAAGTTTCTGTACTAGGAAGATACTAAGACATTCATTTTGGGTCCCATTTTTATACTTTTTCATTAGCTAAAATAGTTATAAAAATATGTAAGTAAAAACTTGTAAAATTCACTTTGGGGCCGGGAATGCAGCTCCACAGCAGAGCACTTGCCTAGCATCTGACAGGCCCAAGATTGCCTCCCTAGCACTGCACTGCAAAACATGCAGAACAAAACAAAACTGAAACACTGGAACAGCTGCACAGATCTGTGAATATCCTAAAATCAGTGGAGTTATACACTTTAAATGGATGAACTATACAGAAATTGTATCTTAATAAAGCTGGCATTTTAATGACCTATTACAATATTCATTATATTAATGTAAGCAGTAATAACAGGAGAAAGGCAAAAATTTAATGTTTAATGAATGACTTTTTCTTTTTTTTTCATTTTTTTGAGACAGGGTCTCACTATGTAGTTCAGACTGTTCTGGAACGCACTGTGTAGCCCAGGCTGGTCTCGAACTCGCAGTGATCCTCCTGCCTCAGGCTCCTGAGTGCTGGGATTACAGGTGTGCGCCACCATGCCTGACAATGAATGATCTTTTCTACAGGCATGGAAAATGTAAGAGTTCTTATAGAATATTAAGAAAGTAATATTTCCAAAAAGGAAATGTAGAAAGCTTTCTAAATTTATTTTAGCATGTATTTCAAGTCAGTGAATATTTATAGCATTTTATTTTTCCAGACACAGGTAAATTCTGTAATTTAGGAAAATGTCAAGAATTAATTCCTCATGGGGCATGGTGGCACATGCCTCTGATCCCAACACTCAGGAGGCTGAAGCAGGAGAATCACCATGAGTCTGACACCAGCCTGAACCACATACATAATTAAAAAGTTAATTCCTCTACTACATCAAACTGATTTCTTCGAACAAAATACTGAGATTTCCCTCTGATTCCTACAATTATTAAGTACAGAAGATTACAGCATAAATTTAATAAAAAATCAGGATAAAGGATCTACACTAGTTGTATTCTTCTAGTCATAAGAGAATCTACAGAACCTAGCAGGACAATTGAAAATGTATTGCAAACAAAACACTACTAAGTCAACAACAGCTGCATAGGTGATGGGTCTGTGCCCTGATTTTTATAATACTGGGTGATTCAGAGTCAATGTAGTATCCAGTAATACCCAAGAAAGAAAAGCTATTTCTCCTTAGCAAAAATGAGAATTAAATACTTAGAAGGCCCACAATATCTAAATTTTATAGCTACAGATGTTTATATAAAAGCATCTTAATCACAAGGTAAATAACTTATCTTACTAGAGTTTTTTTAGTACTGGTGATGGAACCTAGAGCCTTCCCACTAAGCTACTTCCCTACACCCTTTGTTACTCTTTTTTATTATAGGATAGGGTTCTCACCAACTCCCTGAATTCCTATCCTAGCCTCTCAGAGTACTAGGGTTAGAAGTCTGCCTCACTGAATTATTTCATAATGGAATTTCTTGGGAATGCAATAATCACGTTAAAAAACAAACTACAGTGGTAAAGTTTATGAAAGCTGTTCTACAAATGGAAATCTGTACAACTGCTACACTTCTATGAAAACATTTGATTATATAGATTATTACCCAGTTGGGCCAAACAGCAGATCCCATTTCCACTTGTCTGCACTTAAAACAAAGAAGGTATTCTCGCCCCTGCCCTCCCCTAAATCTTCATCCACCCCCCGATTACACTGTGTGTGTGCGTGCGTGTTGTGAGTACATGTGTTGGTGCTGGGAAACAAACCCAGGGCCTCCTCTATCTCTTGAATGAGGCTCTTCAGTGCTCTAACATCCACACTCTCTTTAGTTCTTTCAGTGTCCTTAGCACATCTGACTTCAACTACCACTTCCAGAAAGCAGAAAACTCCCAACATGCCTACAGTGCTCCTCACCACAGAAAAGTATTTTTCCACCACTTATTATTGAACAGCTTTACATAGCTTTTCTGCAGCCATACCCGACTACACCTGTCCAGTACTGACCCTCTTTTTCTTTCCCCAAAATAATGTGTTTTGCCTCTAAACTACCCAAGTGATAGCACAACCATTCACCTGGCTGCCAATGTTGTCGAGCCAAAAATAAACGTATTTTTCTGTTTAATCAATTCAATGCAAAAACTGCTGCTTTTCAGACCTGGCATGGTGGTACATGCCTGTTACTCCAGCTGCCTGAGATGCTGAGGAGGAGGGTCATGAGTTCAAGGCCAGCCTGGGCAACACAGGCTGAAAAGAGTGAAACCCCATCTCAAACATAATAATAAAAATAAAAGAGACAAAGCCGGGCATGGCGGCACATGCCTGTAATCCCAGCACTTGGGAGGCTGAGGCAGGAGGATCACTGAGTTCCAGACCAGCCTGGGCTACATAGTGAGTTCCAGGTCAGTCTCAACTAGATAGTGAGACCCTGTCTCAAAAAAACAAAACAAAACAAAAAAAAAAAACAAAAGACAAAACCCCTTAAACACAACAAACGAAAGCCTGTCGCTTCTCTCTCCAAATTTTCTCTCAAACTTATTATCTCTCTTATAACGCACATTTTAAGCTTCATCACTTCTAACCTACACCACTGCAATGCCATGAGTCTCCAGGATTTTGAACCTATTTTACTCCACCCTTCACTTTGCTGTCAGGGTAAACCTTGTTATAATCTGGATCTAAAATGTCCCCCAACAACCATGTGTTAGAGGCCTAGTTCCCACCCTGTGATGCTACTGGGAGTGGTGGAACTAAGATGCTGGCCCCTTCCTATCTCTCTGACTCTGCTTCCTGGCCACCAGGAAGTGAACAGTTTCCTCTACAACATGCTCCCCACAACAGTGCTACCTTGCCATAGGCCCATAAGCAGTAAGTCAACCCACCACAGACTGGCGTCTGTGAGACCAAAAGCTAAAATAACTCTTTCCTCTTTATAAATAATTTTTCAAATATTTTGCTACAGTGATGGAAAATACATCTTCTAAGGCACAAGTCTAATTATGTTACTTAAACTTTGTCAATAGCTCTTCACTGCCACTAAGATTCACCCCAACTCCTCATCGGTGTTTATAAGGCCCTTTCTGATCCCATCTCTGCCCACATTCCCACGACTGGCAATGTACTCAACATGAAGAATTACGGGCAGCTCCCTGGGTGTGCCTGCTCTTTTATGCTTGTGCCCAGAAGATTTTCTTCACCTCAGAAGTCTTCTTTCAAAAGGCTTCCTTAAATCTCAGCATAAAAACAGCACAGATGTGCACAGGACACAGGAAAAAGACAAAATCATGGCCACCCCTGTAGCACAGATGTGGAACAGACTCTTGGTAGAGTACCATGTGGCCTCCACGGCTTCCCCACCTCACCACCACTGTGGCAGTGGCAGGACACCACTCACACACCATTCACTGTTCAAATGTTCAGTGCTCTTTTTCTTTTCAGTGCCTCTGCTTCCTGACATCTCTTTTTTTCCTACTGTATTTGGCTACTTCGCCCTAACAATCTTTATCTTCCTGGAACACTAGATTCATGCTAATTTAGGATCTAAATTTCAAGAACAAACACACTGGAAAAAACTTTAATCCTACATTTTTCACATACAAGAACTGGATTTGCCTGGGTATGGTGGCATACATCTGTAATCCAAGCACTCTGGGAGGCTAAGACAGGAGGGTTACAAATTCAAGTCCCATCTGGGTAAGTGAACAACTTAGTAAGACTATATTAAAATAAAAAATAATAATACAGGGCTAGACATGTAGCTTGGTGGGACGGCCTTGGGTTCAATCCCTTGTGCTATAAAACAGGGATATCTTTAGCAAGAAAAAATAATTTTTGAATAAAAGATCAAATGTTACAAGTCATTTTGTTATTACTATTACTTTGTTTTGTGAGACAGTCCCACTACACAGTCCAAGCTTGTGATTCTCCTGTACCATCCTCCCAAGAGCTGGGATTGCAGTTGTACACCACATCACCTAGCCCAGAAAGTCATTTTAACAAAGATTTTTTCAGACTTTTTGCTCACAAATTTCCTGACTCTAGAAGTGCTGAACAGTGTTGTTGAGACTTTCAATAATAACAGCAGCTGCACATATGAGTATCAATGTGGTTCAGGCACTATATTATTTTTTTGGGGTACTGAGGATTGAACTCAGGACTTTGCTCTTGTGGGGCAGGCATGGAGGCACTGAGCTAAATCCCTGGTCCTCAGGTACCATTTTCAGCAGTAAACACAGTTACGTCATATAATCTTCTTAATTGTATGATGTAACATTAGCTGCAAAGTAAAGTACTAAAGAAACAAAAAATTCCTTCATCTTATCACCACTGACTGGCAAGTACTATTAGAGTATTTCCATCTTACCAAACTTGATAGTTTTTGGGCTGTTCCTCAATTATCGTAGTGATGTAGTTCATTTCTTCATGTAGATCCTTTTGAAGTGACCGTAAGAGAACTCTTCGAAAATGCCTACAGCAAACAGCAAATACCCGAAGTCTCAGTATTCTAAGTAAGCTGTCTAGCAACAGTGTCAAATACAGCTGTGAAATAATAATATAATTAGATAAATTTTTGATGGTTATTCTATATAACCAAGAATTTTAAAAGTCAGTGCTTGTGATTGTCACAATTCATAATGACTATCTGGTAACTGGAAGAATCAAGCAATGAAATGAAAATAATGAAAGACAACAAATATGAGATGGAAAAAAGCAAATTTTTGAAACAAACAAGAGATAAGTAGCTTGAGGTAACTGTAATTACTAGTGTCTATAACCTAAATATCAAAGACACTGCAGGGCAGGGGATTTAGTTCAGTGGTGCAGCCGCCTGCCTTGCAAGATCCCGAGTTCAATCCATGGTACAAAAAAAAAATCAAAGACATTGCTTTTGCAACATGGTAGTTTGTGTAAATACATTGCTCAAATACTAATTCTGTTAGAAACATTACCAAGATATCTTCGTTTTGTTGTTGCTGTGACAATAGTCACAACTCCACTCAGTATCTTCACAGTGAAGCCTTACAGCTCATAAAGCCTGCCACACAGAACTTCCCACCAGGCTTCTCCCTCTCTCCATTACAAGCATGAAAAGCTGCGCATGGCAGTGCATGCCTGTAATCCCAGCTCTGGGGAGGCTGAGGCAGGAGGATCACCCCAAGTTCAAGATCAGCCTGAACTACATCATGAGTCCTTCTCTCTCTTAAAAACACACACACACACACACACACACACACACACACACATAAAAGAAAAAAAGCCAAGAACCATCAACATTTGAAAAAAATATTTACATGAAAGAGACCAAAGGACATAGAGACAAAAAGTTATTACACGTATACCAAAAAAATCAAGATATTACTTTAAAAAGAATAACTGGAGAACAGACAAAACAAAACAAAAAGGTCTAGGAAATAAAATGAGTACACATTTTTTTTTTAATTAATAGAAGGGCCAGGGATTTAGCTCCGTGGTTCCACCACCTGCCTCACAACCGCAAGGTCCTGAATTCGATCCCCGGTACCAAAAAGAGAAAAAACTAATATGAGTTAGAAAATAAAACTGAGGAAATATCTCTAAAGTAAATAAAAGGACAAAGAAAAGTAAGACAAGGTGGTGAACCTCCTCAACTGAAGCTAAAAGATCCACTGGTCAGACAGTGACCCACTCCTCCCCCAGCAAGCAAAAGGTGCAGCTGAAGGCGAGCATGTCCATGTGAGCACATGAGCACCTTTGCACACAGGTGAGGGAGGGTGCTCTGCCTCCACACCACAGAGAGGAGACTCACTGACAGGAGGAGAGAACCCAGCAACACATCGTTGCACCACATTTTGCTACCATTTGATCTGAGGCAGCAGAACAACCTGATCCTACTGCAACCAGACCCCATGACTGTCCACATCAAGCCCCTCACTGTGGCCTCCAACCAACAGGGACAAGAGCTGACTGCATTTCCCACGGACAAACAAGAGTAAGGACATATCCTGGCCCGGACTGTAACCAGTCTGCAGCAAACAGACAGAAAGGCCTCTGGGACAGGGAGGGTACCCCAAAAACCTTTAGGCTGAAAGATAGGTGAAGAAAATCATGACTGGCTGGACACTAAGATTACAGATCTTGGAAACCACTCATTCAAAAATATAGGAATGGCCAGGTGTGGTGGCACATGCCTGTAACCCCAGTAACTGGGGAAGCTGAGAGAGGAAGACTGCTGAATTCCAGGCCAGCGTGGGCTACGTAGTGAGTTCAAGTCCAGCTGGAATTACCACAGAAACACCCTGTATCAAAAACAAAAAACACAGGAATGGGTTTGTTTTTTAACTCATTCTTTTTTTAAATCCATTTTTAAGTTTTTAAAATCTTTCCTTCATAGGTGTTTTTGGTGTTTCTTTTTCATACTTTTCTCTTTTCAATTTTTCCTCTTCTTTTTTTTTTTTTTGGTACCGGGGTTTGAACTCAGGTTCTTGTGCTTGCGAGGCAAGCGGCAGAACCACTGAGCTAAATCCCCGGCCCTTTCCTCTTCTTTATTACCTTTACTTCCTGTATTCTGCTCTACATATCTTTTATTCTCTTTCTTGTTCTTTCTCTGCAGCAACTGCTCTAACAACACTAATTTTCCTTTACTCAACAAGACACTCAGTTGTAATCATCTCTCCTTTTTTTTTTTTTGGTACTGGAGATTGAACTCGGGCCCTTGTACTTGTGAGGCAGGCGGCAGAACCAGTTAACTAAACCCCCGGCTCCTCTATCCTTATATTTAATTTAATTAAGTGCTCAAATTCTACTTTTCTTATTCTGTCCCTCTACCTTTATTGGTATTAACTACTAAGCTTTACGAATCTCTAGACAGCTTTGAGGTATTGTTGAATACTCTTATACTGTTAGTGGAGGTAAAGCTGTTACATTTACTCAGTATTTACTGTAGGTCAAGAGCAGATCAAATTTGATTTGTCTTAGTGTTCATACTATAACTATAGATCTCTTTTTTATGGTTATGGATGACACATTACTGGTCCTTAGGATCTGTCAATATTCATTTTGTATTTGATGCTATAATTGGTGCTAATCTTCTTACTGCAAACAAGGGTGTCATAGGGGCCAGGGATTTAGCTCAGTGGTGCCACCACCTGCTTTGCAAGTGCAAGGTCGAGTTCGATCCCTGGTACCAGAAAAAAACAAAAACAAACAAAAAAAAAGGGTGTCACAGCTGTTGTAATTAATTTGTTTGGGGTACCAATATCTGGAATGCCTTGGGGTCATTAACAACACTGTGGCCCATTTGGGGAAAGTACTGAGATAAATATGCTGTAACCTCCTATCCCAAGTAAATGAATGTTTAGATCCTGGGGCAGACGTAAGGCCAATAGTTAACCATTCCTAGGGGACACCAGAGAAGAGTAGACATTAACTAAAGAGATCTTCGTACTAGAAACAAAGCTTTCCGTTAAAATAAACCTACAAGACTCAACACAAAACCAAAGAAACAAAAAAAGTAGAAACATGGAAAGACAAGCCAACCAAACGCTCCAAAACCTCCTAACTCCCCTGAAGCTGATCTATGGGGCATTGAAGGGGAGGAAACCAAAAGCCACACACCTAAATTATCTGAAATGGTATCAGGGGAGACAAACAAAACAGATCATTAGACATTTGGCAAGCTCACAAAAGATAAAAATAAACAGATGATATTGGGCCAAATAAAATGATTAGGGAGCCTACAGAAGACACTAATAAAATTCCAGCACAGCTCAACAAAGTAATTAAAACATGAATGATCAGCAGCACAGAAAAGAATTGGAATACATAAAAGGATCCAAATACACATTCAGGAGATTAAAAATGCTGTAGAGAGTATGAGCAACAGAAGTGACCAGAAGTGACAGAGTGTCAGAACTAGAACACAAGGCTGCTGTCAGTGAATAATTTAGAGGCACCTTAAAAATAACAGATCATGAAAACTGGAGCCAACAGTTCCAAAATGACAGTAATAAGACTAACCTAAGCTTAACTGGAATTAGTGAAAAATCAGAAGAGAGCACAAATGGCGTCAAAAAAATTAGAACAAGCCCATATATATAACCTAATGATGCATCTCACTGACCTAGAAAAAGAACAATCCAAACCCAAAGCTAGTACAAAAAAAGGAAATCAACTGTAAACATCAGAGCAGAACTCAATGAAATTAAAAGCCAAAAAATAATAAAAAGAATCAACATATTGAAGTTTGTTCTTTGTAAGAATAAACAAATAAACCTAACCAAAGGAGAGAAAAGATCAATGTAATTAGAAATGAGGGCCAGGGATTTTTAGCTCAGTGGTTCCAGTGCCTGCCTCACAAGCGCAAGGGCCTGAGTTCCATACAGGGTAGCAAAAAAAAAAAAAAAAAAACCGAACTCATAAAGACATTTTGCCAAAATCAAAAAGATTATTAGGGCCAGGGATTTAGCTCAGTGGTGCCAGTTTCTGCCTCGCAAGCTCAAAGTCCCGAGTTTGATTCCTAGTACCAAAAAAAAAAAAGTTACTAACAACTACTTTGAAAATCTGTACACCAAAAAATGGAGAATTCAGGAAAAAAATGGATTTCTAAATACATGTAATAACCAAAACTGAACCCAAAACATTAAAAAACCCCAAATAATGTATTAACAGGCACTGAAACTGAAGCAGTAATAAAAAACATGCCAAGAAAAAAGCCCAGGTCCAGAGTGATTCACAGCTGAATTCTATAAAATCTTCAGGGAAGATCTAACGCCACTACGCCTCAAGCTCTTTAATGAAATTAAAAGGCAAAGGATACTCTCAAAGTCATTCCTGGAAGCTAGCATTACCCTGATTCCAACTATAGACAAGGATCCAGGTAAAAATGAGACCAATCTTTTTTAATGCATATGCTGCAAAAATCCTCATCACAATACTGACATAGAGAACACAACAAATCATCAGAAAGATCATACAGCACAACCAAGTGGGTTCATCCCAGGGATGCGAGATGCTTCCAAGTCCATAAACCAATAAATTAATTCATCACACAAACAGACGCAAGGACAAAAATTCCACGATCATCTCAACAGACACAGAAAAAGCCTTTGACTAAATCCAATATCCTTTCATTATTAAAAAATTGAAGAAAATAGGTAGAGGGAACTTACCTATATATGAGATAAGCCATTTATGACAAACCCATTGCCAACATCTTATTAAATGGGAAAAAGTGAAAGCTTTCCATCTAAAATCAGGAATAAGACAAAGATGTCTACTATCACTACTCCTGTTCAACATAACACACAAAACATTTGCAAGAACAATTAGGAAAGGAAAATAAAGGGATACATATATATAGAAAAGGAAGAATTATTATTTGCAGATGACATAATCCTCTCCATGACCCCACAAATTCACCAAAGACTCTTAGAACTAATAACCAAATTCAGTAATGTAGCAGGATACAGAATTAACATGCAAAAATCAATAGTGTTCCTAGAGCCTAGTGGTGCTGAACAGCAAGCATTTGTATCACTGAACACTCTAAAAGGCTCATCAACCCTGCTATAGAATAAGAATGAACCCACTGAGAAAGAAATTAGGAAAAAAAATACCATTCACAGTAGTACTAAGAAAAATTTTTACGTAAGAGTTAATCCAAGGAAGTGAAATACCTCTACAACAAAACTACAGTACTCTGAAAAAGGAAACTGGAGAAAATAGTAAAGTCTCACTTTCCATGAAGTTTAAAAGAAGAAATTAAGAAAATACAATCCAGGAGGTAAAGCATGCAACTAAAAGGTATTCTAGAAAGAAAAAATATAGGAGAGAGAGAAAAATAAATCACAAGCATATAGGAAAATTTCTAGGACTTAAAGAAAAAAATAAAAATGGTTTAAATAAAGACTGGGAATCTTCACTTGAATAACAGAGGCTAAAAGAAATGGAAAATAGAGAGCCGGGGATTTAGCTCAGTGGTTCCGCCGCCTGCCTGGCAAGCACAAGGACCCTAGTTCGATCCCGGTACTGAAAAAACAAACAAACAAAGAAATGGAAAATAAGTTGTAAAATTCTTAAAGAAAATGATTTACACTGCAGAATACTATTAGTAAAGTTGAAGGGAGACTAAAGACTTTTAAATGCATAAATATCAAATATTGCCCTCATACCCTTTTGTAAGTTTTCTTCTACTGAAGGATGTGCTCTGTAAAATGATAAAGTAAATCAAGACATAGATATGAAATCTAGAAGACATAATAATACATGGCAGAACTAAAGAACAACTACACAGTATTGACTAAAGAAAAGAACAGAAATGAAACATCACCTGTCACATTCAATAGCGATGAAACATTCACATGTATAAGTTAGGGAGAGGAATTTATTGGTACAAAGAAAACTAACTCAAGTAAAAAAAGGGAGTGTAATTATACTACAAACGTGCATCAGCATGAACCATGGTGATTCCTCATGTAAATGGAGAGAGGGAAGTAGAGAATGAATTCTGTGCCAATAATAGAAGGAACTAAAGTCTAAAATGAAAAATAAATTAAATAAAGCATATCATCTAATATCCATCTAGAATACACAGAGGTTAATTCCAGAAAAAACACAGCTAGGAGTTGATGACTGCAAGATAATGGGACTCTGGTGGTGGGAAGGAACAGGGCAGAGATTGTTAATTTTCATTCGGCTTCTGACTTTTATACTCTTGAGTAAATTATTATTTTCATTAAAATTACATTCAATTAAAGGAAAATCATTCTGACTAAAACACGAAAGCAGCAAGCAGGAAGTATCAATGATGTTCATTACTTACCACACTGTGTAATTCGCTGCATTTAACTCAATGGCATCCCGAGTGAGCTGCAAGGCTCGCTCGCTTCTCTCATCACGCTGCAGAACAGCTCGGAAATAATCATAAACATCTCTGACTGGAGACAGAGCACACAATGTGTCAGGACCACCTTTTTTATTTTCAACCAGCACTGTAATCTACAGTGGCGATACATCTATGTGGAAATGTACTCTATTAACAAGTGCACCATTTGTCCCAATAAGCAAAACAGTCAGATGCGTGCCACCCTGACAATATTCAGTCAGAGCCACAAATCATGGGTTACACAGGTCTGACCATGCTTATTGCTGGTCTGTGTAGATAGGTTAATGCCAGACTACAAATCTCCCACAGACTTTATATGAGTGAATCTATTCAAGTATGTCCACATTGCTGTTTTCTCACTTTTTATTTTGATCAGATTTTCAAATAAAAAAACCTGTGCAATGAGTTGAGCATGGTGGCACGGGCCTATATACCCAGCATTATGGAGGCTGAGGCAGTAGGATCACCAAGTTCAAGGCCAGCCTGGGATACACAGTGAGTTCAAGACCAGCTTGCAATGCACAGCCAGACTTGTCTCAAAAAGGAAGAAAAGAAAAAATAAAAGCACAATTGTAGAAAACTCAACAGTACAAAAAGGTTCATGGTAAATCTTCATCCTACTAAATTCCATGTGCTTTCCAAAAGTAACCACTGTTAAATGGCTTTAGTATGTTCTTCAAATATGGTCTGTGCACATGCACCTGAGTATAGGCTAATTCCATCCCTCAGTTTTTTAAATTTTTATTTAATTTTTTATTTTTGGTATGAGGAATCGAACTCAGGGACTCACACTTGCCAGGCAGACACTGCATCTCTCGGTTTTTGTATAAATGGAATCTATCATATTCAATGTTTGCCCCTTACCTTTTTCACACATATATTTTTAAAGATAATATAGTTTAGTAAAAATTATATGGAAAATTATTTGGTAATAGCCATTAAAAATTAAAATTTATGTATACGTTGATTCAAAAATTCTAGTTCCAGAAGTTTTTTTTTTTACAAATAACCCCTTATGCATGCTGAGTATCAAAGGATATTTTAAGGAGCATTTGGCTACATAAAAAAAGAAACTGAGGAGGAAATTATGGGAAGCTCTGATTTACTGCCAACTAGGACAAAAGTGAGTTACAGGGACTCACCACTGGCAGCTGACATCTGGCCCTGAGGGACTCCACCCCGACCTGGGGCGGGGGTGCCACCGCTGAGTAGCTAATGTCAGAACAGAATTAAACTGTAAGATATCTACTTGGTGAAGAATTGCTTGGTATGGAAAACTCAAGACACTTGGTGTCAGAAGTATGATATATGACTGAAAAATACAGTGAATATTTAAGTATTTTTTTTTAATTTCAGTAAAATACACACTGCCATTAATCTCCTCACTTCAAACACTTATTCCAGCATGCTTGCCACTTTCTGAAGCAGTTCTGGAAGTCCTTTCACAAGTGTCTTTAATCATGCTGTTGTGGCTATTTCAGTGTCCTGAAAAATTTAAAATGATGACCTTTCATGGTCACTTTGACTATAAGGAAGCCAGATCTAGAAATAAGGTAGATAAGGACACACTAACATTTTTATAACCCAATCTTTCCACTGGATGAGATTCTAACACCCAAAGTCAAAGCATCAGACAAGATCATTAACAATTACAGCTCTTTACAAATTCTGAGGGTATGGTGGCGCACTGCTTTAACCCCAGTAGTATGGGAGGCTGAGGCAGTAGTATATCACGAGTTCAAGCCCCGCCTGGGGAATGCAGCAAGATCCTATCTCAATAATACCAAAACTATTACTGTTATTTTTGGTGAAGAAAATTTTGTATAGTTTATTTCAATCTAAATATAATTGTGAATTTTGTTTAAAAAAAAGATCCTATCTCAAAAAATGAAGAAAGGGGATGGAACATCGCTCAATGTGAAAGCCCTGGGTTCAATATCCAGTACTGAAATATAAATTGAGACATATGAAAGTCACCTTTTAAACACTACCTTCAAAAAGTTGCCTATAACTTATTCTAGGGCAAAATTTAGAAACTATAAATGTCAAACAACTACAGACTATTTAGTTATTAATCACCAAGTTTCCAAATTATAAATTTGTAACAAAATTCTTACATGTTAACACTACATAAAATGATTATGTACATTATACATAACACAAATCTTTCCATGTATTTAACATAAACATATACACAAGCACACTGTTAAAATGATTAACTGCGAAGTGATCAGGCTGGCACACCTCCAGGACCTTCAGTTCCTAAGTAAACCCAATTCAAAGTAAACAGTAAAACAAAACTTAAGTGTTATCAGCCAGAAATAGCCAACTAACCACATACTAAACAGAACTTCATATGCTGGCTTTTTTTTTCCTATATAATTCCTTTGTTTCATTTTGTTTTTTGGAGACAAAGTCTCACTATCCAGTCTAAGACTGGCCTGAAACTTAGAGCAATCCTCCGACTCAGCCTCCCAAGTAGTGGGGTTACAGGCACGCACCACCAATCCTGGTCTCTGCAGAATTCCCTTTATATTAGCTGGGCATGATGATGCACAACTGTGACCCCAGTACTCTGGGAGGCTGAGGTAGGAGGATCACAACTGGGGTCAGCCTGGGGAACTCAGTGACTTAGCAAGAACTTCTCTCAAAATAAAACAATACATGAAATAGGGTGGGGATGTAGTTCAGCGCAAAATCTCTGGCTTCAACTCCCAGTACCAGGTTGGAGAGGGTATATATTTTGATCATATACAAGGTGTGATAAAGAATATAGTGTTTAATTTTACTTTTACATTTATTAGAGTAAAAGACACATTATCAATAATCCCACTTAAAATACTTCCCCTCGCTTCAAACACACTTATCCCATCGTTCTTGGCACTTTCTGAAGCAGTTCTAGAAGTCTTTTTCCATGAATGTCTTTATGCAGTATGATCAAATATACAATGAACAGCTGGGGGTGGTGCTGACACCTATAATCCTAGTTCAAGGCCAGCCTGAACTACATAGCAAGACCCTGCCTTAAAAAACAAAAACAAAAACAAATTTAAAACATACAGTGAAAGCTGCTGACAAATGCCATCCAATGGAAAGGCAGGCTTGTAAAAACAGTATGGTGTCCTCATCTCCCTATTCACCATATCCGGCCTCCTGAGACTTCTGGCACTTCCCCAAAGTTCCCCATGAAAGCTAAATGTTTTGATCAATTCAGGACATGAAAGCAGTCACAACAGTGTAACTACAGGTACAAAAAGGGTATTTCCAGAACTGCCTCAGAAAGTGGCAAGAATAATGGGATGAGTGTGCACGAAGCAAAGGGACTTTGGTGTTTTTTATGACAAGGTGTTTTTTACTGTGGTAACTTTTTAAAATTAAACAGTCACTATTTTTTTATCACACCTGATGATGTCTCTCAAAGTATGGAAGTTCTGCATATTTACATAACTGCAAGTTCTGACATTTTCCTTAATAAATTGTTTTATGTCTAATATGTCCTTCACTCCAAGAATAAAAAATTATTCTTACATTTGCTTATAGTAAATATACAGTTCTAGAAATTTAATTCATCTGTAACTTGTTTCCATGATAAAGATATGAGATGGGGCAGGGTGGGGTGGTTCATGCCTGTAATTCCAGCATTCTGGGAAGCTGAGGCAGGACTGAGGGTTTGGCCCAGCCTGGGAAACTCAGGGGTTTAGCCAGACGCTGTCTCAACATAAAAATTTTAAAAAGTGATGGGGATACAGCTTAGTGTGAAGGCCCAAGGTTTAATCTCCAGTACCACACAGCCAAGTATACCAAACTATTACTGGATAAATCTTTTTCATGAAGGTACAAAATGTCCTTTTAAGTCACATAATTAAGTTCTCATATAAACTAATGATTCACTTGTGGTCCTTATTAACCTTTATTTCTATACTAGTTCTACATGTTAATAAATTTAATACTGCATCTTCCTATTTCATAAGGAAACTCACACACACCAATATTCTCTTTTTTTTTTCCCCCAGTACTGTGGTTGAACCCAGAGGCACTCTACCATTGGGCTACACCATGGCACTTTTTACTTATCATTTTGAGACATTACTAGCTTATACAGACATCCAATTACAGAATTAGCATTCCATTATTCATTCACCCTTTCCTATAACATTTGTATGACCTTCAATTTACAAAGCATTTTCACATTCATCATGAAAGAATTTATTAAATTCTTTTTATAAAATTCTTTCTGTGAACTTTTTTTTTTTGGTACTGGGGATCAAACTCGGTATCTTACGTTTGCAAAGCAGGAGGCAGAACCACTGAGCTAAATCCCCAGCCTCTATGAACTCATTCTAAATCAGTAAAAACATTCGAACTGAGCCTAAACTTCACTCCCTAAATAGTCTAAAATGCTGCTGCTTCAGTGACCAAAGTTACTGTGAACAAAACAGTACCTCATTTGCTATATGCAGATTAAAAAGTAAATGAAAAGCACAATCACATAGATATTAAATGTTATAATGTAACATACATTGTTTAGCACATCTCCACTCTTTAGACAAAGCAAAGCTTTTAATTATAAAAATAAATCTTGATCCTTGTAGTCTTTGAGATTTTCCTCATTTAAACACACTAGGGACCTGAGGTTCAAAAACTTCAGTGACTTGTCCAAGTTCACTCCACAATGTGGAGCAAAGCCAAGGAAGGTCAGTAAGAAGGGCAAGTCCAAGGGAGACTTTCATCTGGAGTGAGTTAGGACACTTGCTCACCCCTCCCTCCTCTACCAATGACTAACCAGCATGACCTCCCCACTCTGAAGGAGGCTGGCTTCTGCTAGGGTTTCCATACTTGAAGGCAACCCATATCTTAGCTCCAAATTTAGTGGGGCTTCCTATTCTTAGGTTGCGCCTCTGCAGACTGGGAGAATCTGAGCTGATTAGTAACTTAACCACCAGCCGGTATAGTGGCACATGCCTGTGGTTCCAACAGTCTGAAAGACTGAGACAGGAGTGCATCAAGTTTAGCCCAGTCTGGACAAAAGAGACCCTATCTCAAAATTTAAAAACAAAAGAAAAATTTTTTTAAAGGGCTGTGGATGTAGGTCAGCATGAAGGCCTTAGGTTCAATCAATCCCCAGGACTGAAAAAGAAAAAAGAGAAGGAAAAACTGCACTGGGCTAGGAACTTTGCAAACAAAGGTTATTTGGGCATCACCAGCATGAAAATGAGATCAGCTTCGGAAACATTAAGAGCTGATACCATTTCTTATGTAAACTATGATTTCTCTATTCTTCCCTGTATTGTGAGCCTTCTTATTCACATACACACAAAAAGCTAAAAAATAAATAAATAAATTGAACTCCGAAGTAATTTAGACCCTTATTAGATGAAAATCTATCTTGCTATACAGTTGTGAATTTCAAGTTTGCTACTAAATTTGACTTACAGATCTTTTCCTAATAAAAACAAACTTACATTTTTCACTATAGATGATCTGCACTACTGGATTGGGACCATCATTCTGTAGCACTGGATCTATATCAGCCCACTCTGCTCTGTCCCTGAAAAATATACATTTTTCTTTCAGTGATTATGCTCAAACACATTAAAAGAAAAAAGAACCCATGTTTTTAAAAATAGCAATATCATACTTATATAAGCATCAGTAACTTAAATAGATCTTAAGGTTATCAACATTGAATTCTTCATGACCAAGTTTTGCCATTTCAGTCTACTTATTAAACTTTTAAAATAAAACAATCTTTGAATTGTAAAAGAAGCTCACAATAGGAAGTAGGGAAATGGTGCCTTCTCAAAAGAGAAGGGAATCAAAGGATGGAGGGAGAAAGGGGGAGGGGAGGGAAATAAGAAACTGTGATGTGTTCTGTAGGTGCACCAACTCCACACACAAAATGCAAACACTACGTCCTACACACGTACTAATAAACTAAAACTTTAAAATTTTTTGAAGAGTCCCTAAGTCAACAGTTTTCAAATTTTATGTTTTCTATGTGGCAAAACCTGTTTTTGCAGCAAATATACAGTAATTTTAACTTAGAAATCAATCTTACTCATTGGTCTAATTAGACTCTTTGTAGTCTGTCAGCATTCAAAAACATCTGAATTATTTATTAGAAATTGACTTTTAAGATAAAATTCAGCACTATTACCATATTTTGCTGCATACAAGAAATGTGGCCCAGATGGTCATTTATACAGCAGGCTCTAAGGCAATGGTGGTGAGCCTTTTAGAATTTTCAATGATAACAAAGAACCAAGACCTGTTATGTAAAGGTACAAGATCCCAGTAATGAATGCAACTGTACTGTACACCTAGAATGTAACAATAAACTCAATTTTTTAAAAAAATGATAACAAAGAGCCCGTTGCAGCACTAGGTTCGCCAACACTGCTCTAAGGGCTGAGAGGCAGCTGGGTGGTAGAGCACTTGTTTAGTTCCACACAAGAGGTGAGAGCAGATTCTGAAACCTGACAAAGGCCTAAGTTAGAATATTACAAACTGTGTGACCTTCAGAAAGTTACATAATGTCTCTGAGCCTCAATTTCTTCTTTTAAAACAAGCATAGAAAATCAAAAACATTCAATAACTATTATTCATCATCAATGCTAAAGTAAGAGTATAATGGCAACAACTGTTCAATGTGAATTGCCCAGTGTGAAAAGTTTTACTCTTTTATTCATATATGAAATGATCCAAATATACAGTGAATGTTTGTTATGCACTCAGAGGTGGGGATTTGGGGAGGTAAATGAATCATGACTGTATGATATCCATTACATTTTTCACAATGGATGATCTGCACCACTGAATTGGTGTGATGGGTGGAACATTGGGAGTTGAAGCCTGGTGGGAAAGAGTTGGTTGCCGTGGGTGTGATCTGGAAAGATACATATCCTTCCCTGCTTCCTGCCTGCCATGCCATGAGCTCTTTCTTCTCTGTCATGCTACCATACCTTGGAGCTAGCTTACTATGGACTGAAACCTCTACAAACTGTGAGCCAAAATAAAAATTTCCTCCATTAAATTGTGAGTGCCAGAAAAAAAAAATTGTGAGTGCCAGATATTTTGTTCAAGTAATGAGAAAGTAACTAAGACAATATTTAAATTGTTAAAGATTTTATTACTGTATAAGAGATATTGCCATTAATCCCCCTCAAATAACTTCCCCTCACTTTAGACACATTCATCCCATCATTCTTGCCACTTTCTGGAGCCATGCAGGAAGTTCTCTCTCCTGAGGGTCGTACTGAGGTGCTGAATACCATACAAATGAAAGGCCACTCAGAAGACTTCCACAACTGCTTCAGAGAGTGACAAGAACAGTGGATAAGTGTGTTTGAGTGGAGGGAGAGCATTCTGATGCTGGCTTAACACCAATGTGTCTTTTATTCTAGTAAATTTTTTTAAATTTAAGCATTCATCATATTTATCTTTTTTGCAATAGGACACATCTTTATTGGTCGCCATATATTTGTCACACCATGTATTCTTTTCCTTTCAGCCATTCTTTACTTCTGTACAGTTTATCAACAGCAAATACCTGTGTCATACGACCTTAAAATTGTGTTCATCATGTGAAGAAATACAAGGAACCAAGGACAAGCAGTGGCATGGAAAGGCGACTGTCAGTCACTGGGAAATCAGACACAGTCGTATGAATAAACTAAATATTTCATAATGCAGAGGGCCACCAAAATGAATTTAAATGAGTAACAGTAACTCCAACAACAAAACAACAATTAACCCTCTTGAGTGTCACTTTCACTCATTCATAAAGTGAACGGGGTTTAGGTAGAACCACAAAACGAAAAGAAGTTTGGATTGTCTCTGCTGGCTCACAGAGATAGGGAATCCTATTACTATCTGAAAGTAAAGGACAGACAGCAATGCCCCTGGGTGTTGGCAAGGTAGGGGAAAGAGGCAAGAAAGTTACAGCAGGACCTTAAGATCACTACTGTTGCAGACAAGACTTTGCCGGGTTGCATAATTAACTTTAGGCAACAAACTTCTTCATGCTTATTCATGCTTTCAGACTAAGTCGCTGCCTGACTGACTGAGCCACTGAGTTGTGAAAATATTTCAGTCTTTAAGGTTTTACCTTAGTTCTGTTATTTCAGCAGAACCACGGAAAGCTCTTCCAGCTTGTTTTTAAAGACAGCAAAAGTGGCCCCTATTTTTAAAAATACATATTCTCGGCACGCTCTCAAACTGAACCCTAAGGCTTGCGCGTTGGTACGGTCACTACGCTGGCGGCGTTCTAGACCACGGAAGAGAGCGGCAAGTTCTTAAAGGTGTGGACGCCGACCGCGGAGCCACCGGAGGAAGTGCGGTCCGGCG